TTAGCTGCCAAATCCACTAGAAAGCAAAAATAAAAAAGGAAATATTGCAGGAGAAAATCTAGCCTCCTAAATGAATCTAATAAATTGCTCCTTCCCAATCAGAGACTGTATATCAAGCAACTGCTCCTACTCTCATCTTCCCTCTAAAAGGAGGTTCTAGAAAGAATGACAACAGTGAGAATTCCTTTCTACACAAGAATCCAGTTTCTTATGCTCTGCTGCTATACCAACCTCTGACCTTAAGCAAGCCTACATCTATCACCACCAGACCTAATTTTTCCTTGCCAGCTGAAAATTCTTAACCCATTCCTGCATTATTCCATCTCAACTTCCCCTAAAGAAATATGGCCTACTCCTAATTTAGTATTTCTTCTGATAGTCACTATTTATAAAGAAAACAGAAGACAGTTCTTTTCCAATTGAGATATTATTTGCTCACATTGTGAAAAATCATGATTAACTGATACAGAGTGCTAGGTTACATGCAAATAAATTTATCTCCTACCTACATCTTCTTCAACATCTTCTTCCATGTTATTAATAGAACCATCTAAAAGAATGGAAGAGAGACAATAAATACCAAACAGAAATTTAAAGTGTATGATCCCAGTATCTCACCATCTCCACAGTATGCACTGACAGCAAGGGTCATTCAATGAAGGAGTGGGTTAAAAGACTGGGAAGGTAGTGGAGGACCTTGACAGTTAATGGGAGCGGGAGGCATTTCAGTTGCCAGGGGCCTGAGGAAAGCAATGCTAAATTTTTAATTAATTGGGGCCAATCTGCTTTATCTAATAGCACTCACCTATGTTTGGAACTGTAGTACTCTTAATACCCCAAAGGTTCTTCCGGGGATGGATGAGGTTTGAAAACTATTGAAAGACACAAATTTCAACCAATATTAGGAAGCAAGCCACCAAACAGCCCAGTGCACGCCCCTAGCAGGGAGGGACCCACCCGAATATTGTTTCCTTTGCAGTGTCAGGTATTAATTCTGACACTGGATTCTTTTCAGGAATAGGTCGCCTCTATGAATTATGCTAAAATCAAAGGAGACTTTCTGCTGCCCCTGTACCTTAAGTTCCTCTTTATAGTCCTCTAATCTAAATGTGGCAGTCCTTGGGGGTCACAGCACGAGGAAGGGATGTGGGTAGCAAAGCGTGGTGGTCGGTAAGATGGAAGCTAGCCGAGGCTCAATGGTCAAATTGGGAGAGCAGAAAACTCCAAGGTCTAGTTGGGACTATCAGCTGCTTTCTCTCCCGGGACTTCTAGGGGTCTTCATTTTGCCATTTCAAACCAAAGGTCTCGTGTGTCTCTCAGGGTCTCCTGCTCCCGGCCCTCCCCACATCCTTGCCACATCTCCCTTCCACCATTTGACACCCATTCCACACGCTAGCGGGGCTCTCTCCTCCCGCCCTCCCCGGCAGATCTCCCTCTCAGAGTGCGGTTCTGGCCCCCGCCCACTTGCCCTCCCCGGCTCAGCGGCGGTTACATGGTTGTTCAGCCGCTCGCTCTCCGCCGACCCGGCGTCGCCTCCCCAAAGTAACGACGCCATAGCCGCGATCGCAACTCTCTCCCCCAGCACGTGCGCCCTCCCCCGGCACGAGGCAGCGCCCGGCTCCAGCCAGCGGCCAATGGGCTTCCTCTGGGGGCAGGCTGACGCGCCCGCGACCACCCGCGGCGCGGCGCGCAGGCGCGGGAGCTCCAGAGAGGGGGGCGGAGCCAGGAGAGGAGGTGGGGGCTGCGGGGGAAGGAGAACTGCGTTCAGAGGCAAGTTTGCACTTGACCAGCCGCGCGTCGGCGCCAGGTGTTAGAAACCCGCGACGGGGCGCCAGTGTCGTGAACACTCGCCTGCTCCTGACCTCTGCTAAGCCAGCAACAGCTTGAGATTCTAAGCCGCAGCAATTTTCGCACTGATTCGAGAGCCCTACCTCCCTTACCCACCACTTACTACGCAATTCTCCGGGCGGTGAGGCTGGACCCTTCCCGCTCCCCGCCCCCGCCCGGTGTCTTCAAGCACTCCTGCCCATGCTTCCCCGAAATATCCGCTTCTACGTTACTAGATGTCAGAAAGACCAGAGAATTTCATAGGAAAGTAGAGGGTCAAAATGGATGAGTTTCACCTGACAAATTAATTCAAATGAGAAAGATGAGAAGAGGAAGTAAAGTTGTTCAGGTTCTAACTGTTGCCCCTGTTCTAATACCTGTGATGTTTCCACATACCGGCTTGTTTTAATTTTAATGCTGGTACATGCCCTTTTGCTAATGCAATCCTGAGATAACGGTTTTCCTTGCGGTACAACCTCTACCTCCTACCCTTATCTGCATAATCTGACATAGATTCCTTGTACTACTGACTGTTAAATTTGGACAGAAGAACTAGATTTCTTGCAGTTTTCTAACTGGAATCTTGAGATTTAGATCAGCATCTCTGCAAAAACCCCCAAACCAAAAACCTAGTTATGATCTCTCCGTGGTGCTGAAGCAAGACTCCCCCCCCCCCCGTTCGGTCATTCTCAGGCACCTCAATCGTTTGTTTTGAGGTTATCAAATTCCTTTTCAAACTTAACATGTGGATCCTAACAGCACATGTTTTTGTCCCGCAATGATAACTTTCTACTAACTTGAGTAGGTATAAAATCGGTCCAGGTTCTTTAATGTTACTTTCATAAAGGATAGCAGACATTTGAAAAACTGCTTTTCCGTTATTTTATCGCACTAGAATTTATCCTTTTATTCTTGTATTATTATAGGCCCCAGATTCTGCTTTCTCGGAGGTGGAGAAGTGGTGGTGGCCAGACTAGAAAATATTAGGCAGATTTCAGCGTCAAGCCTACACCTCCGTCTCTTGGAACTACATTTCCCACAAGGGTGGACTACATTTCCCATGAGACTGTGGGCGCGCGCGCGGAAGACGCAAAGCGACAGCTTCCTGTCTCGCTAAAAGCTGCGTGGTCGACAACCGGAAGGTAAGTAAGGGGATTTGGGGATGAATTATTTTCTGGGTTATACAAAGAGGAAGGGATAAATGGACAAACAGCTGGACCTTTTTTTCCCCTTTTCCGTATCTTGATCTTCAAAGCATTGATGGGTGGAAGTGGGATCTTGCTTAGGACCGTGTTTTTGTATCTGGTGCTTTTTGCAGCTCCTGGCAGAAACTCACAGCAGTAGAAACTTCAATTCGATTCTTAGAGGGCCCTTGAACTTGTAGTTAAGTCGGCTGCCTCAGAATTGTTTGCTCATAAAACTAAATACCGGTAGAGGTCAGGATTCCAGTAGTATGTGGGGAGGGAGGCGAGGCGACTTTTTTCAAATTAGGAGATTGCTTTTCACTGTTACTGATAATAGTGCGTGTCTCCTGATCCTTAATGGCTATTCCTCCTCCTTCCCTCTTTGGTTTAAAATAAGGTTTATCATGGAAAATGCGTTCTCCTACTCCACTAGTTACAAATATTTTGAGATTTAAATCTTTTAACTTCAAAAAATGTATTGAGGGGCGCCTGGGTGGCTCAGATGGTTAAGCGTCTGCCTTCGGCTCGGGTCATGGTCCCAGGGTCTTAGGATCGAGCCCCACATCGGGCTCCTGGCTCGGCGGGGAGCCTGCTTCTCCCTCTCCCTCTGCCTCTCTCCCTGCTCACGCTATCTCTGTGTCTCAAATGAGTAAATAAAAAATTTTCAAAAAATGTATTGAAACTCTAGCGATGGCTGATTGTTTACAGTCGATGCTCAGCGCACACACCAATTCCCTCGTTGTGGTAATTTGGCAGCCCCTTTCCAAGCGTTAGGTCAGCTTAGGGTGTGCTGGAGGAAGCCCTACTGGGTCATGAGTCTTGGGCTCAAGTCCTCTTTTTGCCACAAATCTTAACTACCTGTTAAACCCTTTGGACTAGTTCTTTGGTTAAAAAGGGTTAAACTAGGTAATCTCTGGAAACTTGCGTTGGTAATTATTGGGCTTTGAGATAATCTAAAGGAGTTAAGTCTTTGGTGTAATTTGCATATAAAAATGCCATGTGGTTTTTAAGTTTTTTAAAAGCATAAAAACTACCTTTAATCCCACTACATTTTGATTTTTCCTTGTGCTTTGTATGTGCACGACTGTGATCGTGTAGTTCACAACCTGTTTCATTTAATTTGCACTTTTTCATTAGCTTCCCATTATTTTCAATGACTGATACTACATTGAATCATTTCACTATTGTTGGATAGTTTGCAGTTTTTACTTATTTGCAGTGAGCAGATCCTACATCTATATTTGAGTCACTGATTATTTCTTTCCTGATAAATGTCTCACAGTGGAACTGGATGAATGATGCAGCTTGAATATTACGGAGAAGATATATTTTAGCAGAGAGTAATGGTCAAAGTAACTCATTTCTACATTGTATAGCTATTTTCCCTTGAACAAGTAAACTATTTCTGCTGTCACTCTAATGGCTTCAGATGCTAAAACACAACCTCCAGATTTTAGATAATTCTCACTGGATTAGAAGCATCAAGAATAGATCCAGTTTAAGGTGAACAGAATTAGTGTTTTGGTCTGCACCCAAATATGCCATGTTCATTTTGGTATTTGTGTCTACATCTAGTTCCAGATTTAGTAAATTCTTTTTCAGTGACAGGCATCATTTCCAAGAAAATCTCAGTGGCAAATTATAAAAAGCATGGTATTCTAGAAGTGACAACTGGAGGGCAATAAATTATTGAAGTAATTCTGAAATAAAACTTGGGTTAGAATCCTGTATGTCATGTAATACTGTTATTGTCTATTAAAAAACATTTAAATTTTCTGGATTTACTATGTTCCTTTAGTAATGGAGATACGTTACTTTTCTTTGTTCCTTTAGGATTGTGTGCATAAACAGTTTTTTGTTCCTTTCCTTTGGCTTTCAATATTTAAGTGGTGAGAGTGTGATGGGGAGTAATGATTGGAGGCAGAGTCAACCCAGTTTTGAGATCATCTTACTTTGCGAAGTATTAGTAAGTAAAAATAAGATCAAGTTCACAAAATCCCAATTCTTTAATGAATAAGCTTAATGCCCAGCAACTTTAAAAGCAGCAACTCACATTGGCCAAAGGTTAAAAACAGTAGAGAACAGAAACGGTGCTGACAAAGTGGAAAGACTATGTCCGTTTTTCTTTCTTTGGCATGACTTCTCTTGCAATTAGTGGATTTGAGAGTGGTAATTTGGAAGTGAAGTGGTATTTGATACCAATGTACACACCTAGGAAAGACCAATGATGGGTGAAGTCCTTACTGTATAATGTTCCATGGGCTTTCAAGTTAGTTGTTTCTATTTAAATAGGACAGAGATAAAGAACCAGGTTACCCCCAAACAATCCCATAAGAGACGTTAAAAAAAATATTTAAGAAGGAAAAAGAGGGAAGGGAAGCTTCCTGGGCATGATACCATTTGCAAGGTCACAGCGAACACCCCAACGAAGGGCAGATCTTTTCTTCTCAGTTGGCACCAAGTAATTGTTTGGAACATATATGTGCTGAGGCTTGGACTGGGGTTCTCGAGAAAGCATCTGCTCTCGGACACCCCAGCGTAATTCCTTTCTGTGATCTTCACCAGGTAACCTCATTGAGTCCCAGTCTCGTTTGTACTCAAAATATCGGGCTACCCGGTCTACCTTGCCTCGGTTTCTGCTCAGCTGGTCCAGCCTTGGGAGAATAAAGGACTTGGGTCGGCTGGCAACAATCAGGTCTTGTTCATAAGCCGGAGGGCCCATTCCTTCTCTTCGTAGATAGCAAATGAGCTGATCTTGAGAAATTCCTTGGTATTCATGTGGTAAATTAAATTTTTGTGAAATGTCATCTGGGGATTCCCTATCTTCGTGGAACTGTAGACTCATGAGCCTTTGTCTTAAGTCCCAGAGATCCATATCATTCTCTGTACCAGACTCTGATTCACTGATAATCGACTCATCGGTCACTAATACTTCCCCATCTGGCTTCTTTCGCAACACCTTTCTCTTCATCACTGGCTTTCGGAGTCTTTGGGAGGCCTCGGAGACTGTTTCTGAAGCAGCATTACTTTCTACATGTGGGTACTGCAGTTGCACAGGAAGAGCAGGTCGCTTTCCTGGGGTTACTGAAGCTTTACTGTAGGGATCATACTGGATAGGCTGGGCATCTCTCCTGACATCTCCCTCACCCTGCCCTGCACAGATATGAGTAAAAGCTGTAGCGGCTGCCAACATTCGTTCTTCTGGATCTACATTGGCCCATTTTTGTACACTGGGTCCCATGAGTTTCTCCATTGCTTCCCCTCCACTGTAGGACCTCCTGCAAGAAAAAATACTGATCAGATTTCTGGTAATTCCCAGTTCTTAAATTATTAATTCCCTATTTTATTGTAGTCAGATGAAGAAAGAATGGCTAAGGCAATCATAAACTAATAGTTATAAAATATAGATTATAGTACAGGGTAATATGGTAGCAGTTTGGAGGAGCATTAACTCAGCTCCAGAGAAGCCATCATCTGCTTTCATTTCCACTCTCTTTTTATTTGCTCCCACTTTCTAATGCCTGGTAGTTCCTGCTACCTTTAGTGGCTCCTAGGACAGGACAGGTGAGTTCTGGCATTATAAAAGCTTCTGACTTGGGTACCTGGGTGGCTCAATTGCTTAAGTGTTTGACTCCTGGGTTTTGGCTCAGGTCATGACCTCATGGGTCTTGAGATCAGGCCCTGCGTCTGCAAGGAGTCAGCTTGAGATTCTCTATCTCCATACCCACCTCCCTCCTCACGCTCTTCTTTCTCTCTCTCAATAAAATCTTAAAGAAAACAAAAAACAAAACTTGCGACTACATGATATGGGGCATAATGCTTAATAGACATTATACAACTTACACTTAGGGGGACACTTTATATATCCAGCACTGTTCTATGTGCTTAACATTTATTAATTCATGTAATCCTCACCTGTGAGGAACTGGTGCTCTTATTATCTACTTTCAAAAGATGAGTAACATGGGGCATAAAGAGGTTAAACAGCACAAGGTTACAGAGCTAGTAAGAGGTGGAGTTGGAAGTCTAACTCAGGCAGTCTGGCTTCAGAGTCCTTTTGACTATGAGTGACATAATCCAAAACCATCACAAAAGCAGTGATATACATATAAACACTCCTATGCTTAAGAAGTTTTTTGTTAAAGATTTTATTTATTTGAGAGAGAGCACCCACGCACGCACTCGCAAGTGGAAGGGAGGAGGGAGAGGGACAAGCAGGCTCTGCGCTGAGCATGGAGCTCAACATGGGGCTTGATCTCACAACCCATGAGATCATGACCTGAGCCAAAATCAAGAGTAGGATGCTTAACCAACTGAGCCACCCAGGCGCCCCTCTATGTTTAAGGAATTTGAATACATCTTCAGTTGCCAGGCTAAATCTGTTCATCCCAGCACCCTGTCACTGAAATAAATTTTAGAACCCAAATCAACCAATACCCGGTGCTCGTTTCCTTACTGGATCTAGGATAGATAACTACTGCCCACTATTTCCTATATCCCTACAATTTTTCTTTTTTTTTTTTAAAGGATTTTTATACCCTGTAATTTTTCTTTTTAAACTGAAAAACTAGTACATGCACATGGTAATTTTTTAAAATAAAATATAGTTGACATACAATGTTACATTAGTTTCAGGTGTACATCTGACAAGGTTAGGCTAAGCTCACAAGTATAGCTGCAATCTGTCACCATAAAACGCTATTATTACAATACCACAGACTTTATTCCCTATGCTGTCCTGCACATGTAATTTTAAGTAAGGATCTCCCTTCCCCTTACCAAGTCTCACTCTCAAAGGCAGTTTCTTATGCTTTCTCTAGTAAAAATCTTTCCATATTCACATGTACATTTTTAAGATTTTGTTTATTTATTCGACAGAGACACAGCAAGAGAGGCAACACAAGCAGGGAGAGAGGGAGAAGCAGGCTTCCCGTGGAGCAGGGAGCCCAATGTGGGGCTCGATCCCAGGACTCTGGGATCATGACCTGAGCTGAAGGCAGACGCTTAACAACTGAGCCACCCAGGCACCCCTCACATGTACATTTTTGTACCATAAAGGAGCATATTATACAACTCTTCTGAACCCTAAAGACAGTCTTGGTGATCCAGCTCTATCAGGACATGTAGACTTCCTTCTTTTTGTTTAAAGTTGCACAGAATTCTGACGTATGGATATACCATCATTTATTCATTCAGTCCCTGATTTAATTTAGGTTACAATCTTGTTAAAACGAATGTTACAATGAGTATTTCTTAAGTTTTTTCATACTTGTGCAAGTGTATGTGTAAAATTTCTAGAAATGGAGTAGGTGGGTCAAAAGATGTGTGTGCTCAATTTGCTGGCTGTTGTCAAATGCCCTCTGAAGAAGCTGTGCTGATGGCATCTTCCAGAGCCTGTTTCTTCATTCCCTCTCCAAAGTAGTACACTATCGAACTTACTCTGCAGTCAGTTTGGTAAAAAATAGTTCTCATATGAATGGCATTTAAATTGAGTAGACCTGAACAACTTTTCATACATTTTTATAAGCTTTTTTCCCCCCTTTCTGTATGAAATGCTTTTCCTTTCCCATTTACCTCTCAGGTTGTTGGACTTTTTGATCCTTAAATTAAAACTAATGTATATATTCATAAAATACTTAATTAAGCAAATTAGCCCTTTGCCATAATTATTTTTCTTCCAAGTTTGTTGTTTGCCTTCTGATTTTACTTTTTGCTGGTACAACTTTCAATTTCAGGTAGTCACAATTTTGGTTTTCTACAGTTTCTGCGATTCTACAGGATCTTACTTAGAAATGCCCTTCCCATTCCAAGACTATAAAAAAGGTTTTCTTCTTATAGTTTCATTTTTTTTGTATTTAAACTTTTAATCTATCATAGATATAAGAAACTCTCAAAGGCTAAAAACTAAATGAGCTACCAAGAATTAGATAACATGGCCTTAGAAGAGATTTGGAGATAATCCATAACTAAAGTGACTGTCAGTCATAGATTGTCTAGCACTGTCCCAATTTTAAGGATGTAGTACATTTGTACTACAGGAATTTCAACATCTTAATTACATTTTCCTGACTGACTCTTCTAACTGCTGGAGGTACAGAACATAAATTTGACTTAAAAAAAGGATCGTGATGCTTAATTACCTTTTTTCTGCCATCAAAACTGCTTATAATGGGAAAATCTCGACTTCAGGCTCTATTTCCAATATGAAGTACAATCATTGATAAGTTTCATCAATCAGGCTAGTCTCCACTGTAGCACCTTTAAGACAGAGCTGAGTGTTACATGTTCGAACATACAAGCCACTAATTTTATCTGAAATATTGGAAAATTAGAAAAAGAATAGATACATACATTCTGAACAGATTTTATGATTAAAAAGGTTGGACAAGTGTAATGAAAAATCAAAAGGAAAAGTTTTAATGAAGAAATATCAGTAACATCAGTCCTTAAATAATCTCAGCTAATGAAAAAGAGAGAAATGGGATCTACATTTTCCCTGATTAAACTTTAACGATGCTAGCTCTTTCTTATTCCCCCCCTCCTCTTCCCCTGTGAACTGGCCAGACAGGATGGAAAAGAAGAGTATCTGTGGATGATCAACCCATAACAATTAGGCTAATGCTTGTCTCCCTGGACAGAAGCAAAATATATCCTTTAGGCATTAAATTAAATCTTAGGTATTATTTGCACATAATGGAATGATACTGACATCACCGAAGTAATCCACTTTGAAACTTTTATCCTTTTACTCTCTTTTCAGGTCGAGTGGACCTATATGATTCCTTTATTCCTGGGGTTGGTTGTCTTATCATGGCTGAAAATGACATAGATAGAATCCAGACTGAGAAACTCCTAAAAAGAGTACAAGAACTGGAGCAGGAGGTACAAAGACTTAAAAAAGAACAGGCCAACAACAAAAACTCACACGTTAGAGAAAATTCTTTAGGACCTGGAAAAGCTAAGCGTGCATTTGATTTCAGTGCTCATGGTCGAAGACACGTAGCCCTAAAGATAGCCTATCTGGGCTGGGGATACCAGGGCTTTGCCAGTCAGGAAAACACAAACAATACAATTGAAGAGAAACTGTTTGAGGCTCTAACCAAGACTCGACTAGTAGAAAGCAGACAGACATCCAACTATCACCGGTGTGGGCGAACAGACAAAGGAGTTAGTGCCTTTGGACAGGTAAGGGCCACTATACTCTTTCTCAAAGTAAGCAATACCAACATCTTCTAGGTGTACATATTAAGAGTTCAGATTGTGTCTCCAAAACAAACATCTCTTTTTAATTCTACAGGTGATTTCTCTTGACCTTCGTTCTCACTTTCTGAAGGGCAGGACTTCAGAGGATTTTAATGTAAAAGATGAAATCAACGATGCTGCTAAAGAGATTCGCTATACCCACATTCTCAATCGGGTACTACCCCCAGACATCCGTGTACTGGCCTGGGCCCCTGTGGAACCTAGCTTCAGTGCTAGATTCAGCTGTCTGGAGCGGACTTACCGCTATTTTTTCCCTCGTGCTGATTTAGACATTGTAACCATGAACTATGCAGCTCAGAAGTATGTTGGCACACATGATTTTAGGAACTTATGTAAAATGGATGTAGCCAATGGAGTCATTAATTTTCAGAGGACTATTCTGTCTGCTCAAGTACAGCTGGTGGGCCAGAGCCTGGATAATGAGAGATGGCAAGAACCTTTCCAGTTATGTCAGTTTGAAGTGATTGGCCAGGCATTTCTTTATCATCAAGTCCGCTGTATGATGGCTATCCTTTTTCTGATTGGCCAAGGAATGGAGAAGCCAGAGATTATTGACGAGCTGCTGAACATAGAGAAAAACCCACAGAAACCTCAGTACAGGTAAGTTAAAAACGAAACAAAAAAACAAGTGTTGCCTTTAGAATATTTTTAAATATATTAATAAATAATTGAAGGTTAACATATCTTCCTCTCCCAACAGTTGTCTGATTAACTAGGTCACTTATTTTGTCTTCATGAAGAATTTAATCTATCTTGTAGAATGTTATGAACACACAGGAGGGCTATCTTTTTCTTCTTTTGTTCTGTCCCATTAGTAAGAAATAGGTGTTTGGACCAGGCCCCTTAAATAAAATAACCTTCATTTCTAAATTTTTTTCCCCTGAATTTATGTTGAGAGGTATTATTGTTAGGTTCTGTTAGGTGAAGTTTAAAAGTGAGCAAACTATTCATATTAAATCTTCCTTGCTTTATATTATTGGGTAGTGATACTATTGTACTTTTGAATTTTTCCTAATTCTCAGTGTCTAAAATGGTAGGAAAGATGGGAAGAATAGTCAGACTTTTCTTTTGAGAGGAGGCTGAGGTCAGATAAACCAACAATTCATTCCTAAGCAATGAGATCTACTTTTTACTTCATACCATACAAAATTAACAAGTTTGGAAAAATATAAAAAATAATTTTATAGCATTATGGTTGAGACAAGTCAGCTCACTTCCAGGTGACCTGTTACCACTGAAATTTACCTTAATATAGATCAAGCCTAACTGGTTGATCCATGGTTTGATTTTTTTTTTCTTTTAATTATAAAGTTGTTCAAGGTTAGGGATCGTCTTTTTATTTTCTTAATCTGTTATCAATACTGACAAAGTTTTTCCCCTCCTTTTAACCCAATTATCTACCCTCCCCCCATCTTAAAATACAAGGTTGTTGGATGGCTGCTGTGTATTTTCACACTGTTTCTTGTCTCTTTTTCTCTCTAGTATGGCCGTAGAATTTCCTCTAGTCTTGTATGATTGTAAGTTTGAAAATATTAAGTGGATTTATGACCGGGAGGTTCAGGAGTTCAATGTTACCCATCTACAACAACTATGGGCTAATCATGCTGTTAAAACACACATGTTGTATAGCATGCTACAAGGACTGGACTCCATTGCAGTACCCTGTGGGACAGGTATGACAGGAAAATCCTAGGATACAATTATTTACTAGAACCAAAGTTATGTGGGGCATGGGGAGGGGTAGATTTATATAAAGTTTGGAGGTGATTCTATTGTGGTAAAGCATCCGTGTAATATCTGATTGTATATATTATAGGACCAAAGATGGATGGAGTGATAGAATGGAGACATGTTAAGCCCTCTGTCATAAAGCAGACCAGTGCCTTTGTAGAAGGAGTGAAAATGCGCACATATAAACCCCTAATGGATCGTCCCAAATGCCAAGGATTAGAAACCCGGATCCAGCATTTTGTACGTAGGGGACGCATCGAGCACCCACATTTATTCCAGGAGGAAGAAACAAAAGCCAAAAGGGACTGTAATGATACAATGGAGGAAGAAAATACTCTTTTGGAGAAACCAACAAAGAGAGTCTGTGTTGATACAGAAATTAAAAGGATCAGTTAACCATAACAGGATCTAGGAGGCAACAACTAGCTAGTGGTAGGTGAATAGAAAAGAAATACAAGATAATATGTACTTCAAGAAGTTCTAAAATTCAGATGATCAGTTCTTTGAAAAAACAAAAAAACCACCCCCTCCCAAATCCAAAGACCATTAAGCCCTATAAAGGAAGTTCTAGCTTGAATAAGAGTTCAAACATTCTCATTCTTTCCCCAGAAGGATTAAGAGACAGAAGAAGCAAAAAGCAATTGTGAAATGGAGAGGAGTTTACATACACATGGAAACCTGTGCCTTGTGTTCAAATTCATTAAAGCCTCCTTCTGCAAGTGTCTAATTTGTTATGCTGTCTTTTTAAAAAGCAAATGAAATATTCATTACTCATCTGAATTCTCCAAAGAGCTTTGCCTGAGTGTCTTATTTTTTAAGAGAAATTAAAAATAAGAAATTTAGTCAGTTAAATATTTCGTACGTTTACGAAAGGCACACTACCTGAAAGTGACCTAACTGAATAAAAGCACAGCATCTCTTACAAAGCTTATCAGTCTAGTGCTGTGAGCCACAAATGGTCTTGGTTACACAGTCTTTTTGGTTTTTTTTAATTTTTATATAGATTTTATTTATTTGAGAGAGAGAGCACAAGCAGCTGGAAGGGGGAGGGGGGAAGCAGACTCCCCTTGAGCAGGGAGCCCGATTTGGGAACTCGGATCCTAGGACCCTGGATCGTGACCTGAGCTGAAGGCAGATGCTTAACTGACTGAGCCACCCAGGTGCCCCCATCTTTTTCTTCTTCACAACATTTTTACATATGTAAAAAAACATTCTTAGCTTAGTTCATGGGCCATATAAAAATAGGCCATGGAGTTTACCACCCCCTGATGTAGTGGTTTAGGAAAATTCTTATAAAGAGATTTCCAAGCTAAATCTTGCCGAACAAGTAGGAGCCCGTTAAAGTGGGGATAAAGAAGCAGAACTTTAAGTGTGTCCGAGGCAGAAGATGCAGTTTGTATAAAGCTTGAGAGATTTACCTGCAGGTAATTGTAAATACAGGAGTACAGCTTGACACTGACAAGAGCATAGTTTAGAAAAGGAACCAAGGATCATGTTTGTAGAGTCGTGTAGACCTTCCTAAAAAAGCTTACATTTTATCTTGAGAGGCCACTGAAAAAAAAACAAGCCAGGACTGTGTAGCAAAAATACTGCTCTGGGTATGGTGTGGATTGGAAGAGGGCAAGACAGTGGGACCAGTTAGGAGGCTGTTAGAGTAATCAAAGAATTAGATGATAATGGCCTAAACTAGATTTGTAGTAAGGGGGATGGAAAGAAGTAGATGAATTTGAAATTAAGAAAGGAGAAGCAACAGGGTTTTATGGTTGAGTGAACGAGAGGTTCAAAAGTAGGGAGGCTTTCAGGATAACACCTAGGTTTCAGACTTAAGCGCATCTGAGACACAAGGGTCAGGAAAATAAGGTGGGGATTTATTCTCAAAGATGATAAGTAATCCTCAAAATATTATTAACCCCAATATTTACTCAAGAGTTCAAAGTTCTTTTAAAATGATACATTAGCTCTTATAGCCATTAAAATAAACAACATCAAATGAACTCAGACCTGCCTCAATAACAATTTTCATCACTGCAGAGTGTAATACTTCTGTACATTTATGAAATAATTATACTGTATGTTCGAGATTCAAAGTTTTACTTACCCATCAACAAAAAGTTTGTTCCTACTTAGGTTCAAAACCATAGGGATACAAATATGGTTTATATCCTCAAGCTGCTGGCTAAGACAACATACGAGATAATTACAAACAATATTAACATATAGAGTAAACTGAGACTGTGTAAGTGCCACAGAAGCTTAGTAGTGGGTGCACCACGGAAACAAGACTTAACTGAAAAAGTTCCAGGTTTAGGATGTAAAATAGTGTAAGTTAAAGTCAAGTGACCTTGTAGTACTAAAGAAGACACATAATAGCTTTTACATTCTAGCAGAGTAGGAACTAGAAAAGATCCTCATTTTAGAGATGGAAAAATTGTGGTACAAAATAACTTAAGTTTATTCTTACCAGCCAATTGCACAATCCAGGTCATCTGGATTTTGAATCAGGTCATTGGTTTTTGGAACCTGATTTGCCAACATTTCATAATGCCTTGAATGTTCTTAAAGTATTGCTTTCTCCTTTAATTTTGATGTAAGGACAAACCAAAACATTTCATTTTTTTCAACTTCCTACCTTATTACAGTGTACCTCCACTGCCGTTAGTTTTTGAGTTAAAGAAAAACCTGGAACGAGAACAGCGTTTATGAAATCCCCATTTATTTATTTATTTATTTATTAAGATTTTATTTATTTATTTGACAGAGAGAGACACAGCGAGAGAGAGAGCACAATAGGGGGAGTGGGAGAGGGAGAAGCAGGCTTCCCGCTGAGCAGGGAGCCCGATGATGCGGGGCTCGATCCCAGAACTCTGGGATCATGACCTGAGCTGAAGGCAGACGCTTAACGACTGAGCCACCCAGGCGCCCCTGAAATCACTATTTTAAATACATCAACTCTAAGGGCGCCTGGGTGGCTCAGCTGGTTGGGCGACTGCCTTCAGCTCCTGTCATGATCCCGGGGTCCTGGGATCCAGCTCCACGTCGGGCAGCCTGCTTCTCCCTCTCCCTCTGCCTGCCACTCCCCTTGCTTGTGCTCTCTGTCAAATGAATAAAATCTTAAAAAAAAAATTAAAAATAAAAAACATCAACTCTAAAGAAATGATACATGGGACAAAAAACACTAAAAAGCCATGCTTTGGAGATTCTATAGAAGCAAAGGAGTTATATCAAGGTCTTATATCTTAAGTAAAATCCTTTCAAGGTTAACAAGACTATACTATCAAATCTAGTAGAATAAGTATTTAGTGATAATATTTTTTGATAACATGTTACTATAGATAAACTCAGCACAATCGTCATAGATGAAGCAATGATGAATCCCAAATTGTAACTTTGCAAAAGTACCTAAGTTATCTGAGGGAATATTTGTTATGAATTTCAGCTTCTGACTCAAGGTAGGGACTAATAACTGTTAGAAATAGGCCTTAGATCTTCCTTTCTTCTTTGGAAAAATGGAATTATTCCAATAGGTGGTGAGGTTTAAATGAGATTATACATGTTATATATAAATATATAACATGTAATATATATGTAACATACATATATAAATAAAATGGTGCTTTGTGAGAAGTATTACACCATTTATTTCAATGTTCATGTAATACAAAACTACCTATTAAAAAGATAATAAAGGAGGGATAGAAATGGAATAGGACTCTGGGCTAGGAGGATCTCCAACACTAAAGCCCAAAGAGATTTTTTTTATGGCATATGTACTATACTGTAGAGTGATTAACCTGTTATCTTCTTTGCACTTAAATTATGGCACACTCCCATTCTTTTTCTTAAATGTATGAACATGGGTATTTGTAAATAACAAAATACAAACTTTACTAAGGCCCACAGGTAACTGTTCATTCTTTCTTTTTAGTATAAAGACCTGATAATCCTTTCCCTTTACTTAGGGGGAAACTTTCACATAGAAGCTAGAGCAGCTTATATTTTGCAGATTCTGATAATATTGACCAAAATATCCAACAGTACCTTCTCTTCAACAATCTGGGGCAACTCAGTGTCCCAGGCTTAGTAGTTGCAAGTGAAAGGGTTTCAAGGGTGGAAGGGGTAGTTGCAAGTGAAAGGGTTTCAAGGGTGGAAGGGGAGGATTTTAAACTGGGATAGTAGTTGGATTCTAACCATTACAGGGCGGCTACTGCAGTTACAACAAATTCCTCTATTCTGGGGCGGTAAGCATGCAGCTTAAAGAACCACAACATTAGAACAAAACAAACACTGACAAAAGACAACCATAATCCAAAGAAACAACCAACTGGGGGGAACACCTGTAACAGATTAAAAATCACAAATTCAAATTCCTCTTAGAAAGCTATTAAAAGGTACACACACCAGAATAGAGGAAAGACAGATCATTTACAGATTATTTAAGAAATAATGACTAATACACATAGAAAAGGATGTTTAATCTCATTAATAACACAAACACATTAAGATACCCTTTTAGATTGGTAAGATTTTTCAATATCCAGTGCCAGTTAGAGGGTGGAGAAAAAAGCACCCTTACACTGTATGCCTGGGTGGGTGGGAGGATATCAGTTTTTCTAGAGGGCAGCTTAGCATTATGAATCGCAATTTAAACTGCACCACAATTTCTAAGCCATAATCCACTTCCAAGAATTACCCCAAGGAGATAAACTGAACAAGAATGCAAATATGTATACATACATGTAACAACCATCATGCTATTTTATGATGAAGAAACTGGAAAAACAGGTGTCCATCATTAGGGCATTGGTTAAATAGTATATTGTACAGTACAGCAACTGCAAGAAATACATCCATTAAAAATGGTAATGCGTATCTGTATTTGACAGACACGTGTTCCGAAAATTCTAAGGCATAATGTGCTTTTAAAATGAGTATGCTTTATTATATTCAAAATAGACAACTATATATTTTATAAGCATAATCATGTAAATATATATTCGTAACGAATATATCTGAAGGAAACCCAAATATGAAGTTTTCTTTTTTTACGGTTATCTGAGGCCGATGGAATATCTAGTATTTTCTTCCCTTTTTTTCTTTATACGTTCGTACTTCGTGGATTTATTTCTAAAAACAATGGGGTTGTATAACTTTATAGTCAGAAAAAAGGTGTATTTTCATCTGGGGTAGGACTATAGAGTTCTGAGATTTTCCACGCTATCCTAACTCATTAGGGAGAGGTGCACGCACGGTTACACCCAGAAGTTCACAAAGGGCGTAACCAGGGGTTGGGAAGACTCTGGTCCCCGCACGACAACAAAGACAATCGTGTACCCACCTGGCCCCGGGCGTGGTTGTCGCCTCGGATGCTCGCGGCCTCCCGGGAACCCGGCTCCCTTGGCGGCACCGCCCCCGCCGCCCTCTGGGCCAGGGACGTGCCCACCGCTGCAGCCACCAGGCAGGCAGTGGACGCCGGACGCGCCGCGGGCGCCCACAGTGACCTCTAGGGACGCAGGCACTCCAAGGGCACAGCACGACAGAGCTTACACCTGCCTTGGGGAGCAGTAAACCTGGGTTCAGCAGGATCTCAGGCGTTTACCAGCCGCGCCGGGCGGGGGGAACTCCCATTCCGCCCTGTTCAAAACCCGACCTCTCCACAGCAGCGGGCAGCCGGCCCTCCTGGGCCCGTGCGCCCCCTATTCCAGCCCCTGTCCGCTTACCCGCCCCGCCGAGGTCCGCTCGCTGCACCGAGTCCAGCCGCCCGGCTAGCGCAGTTACGCAGGGTTCCGTTAGCGTCCGGTAGCTCGCGCAGGCGCACAGCCCGCCCACGCGCCGAGGCCGCAGTTAACCGCCCCGCAGCCGCGGTTTAAACCAGAAGAGCGAACCCGAGCCCTCGGCACCGCCCTCCAGCCCTCCTATTGGCTCTGAGGGAGAGCGTCTTCCACGTCTACATTCTGATTGGTGCTCATTTTCTCTTGGCCGTCTCCCACAGGCGGGAGAAAGCCCGGGATTTGAGGCATGGATTCGGAAGGGCTCCAACCCCGCCTTGCACTGGCGCGTTACCCGGAACCGTATCTGCGTCGCCTTCAGGCGCACGGGTAGGGAAGGAGGGGACTCTTTAAACTTATTTAACGCTAGTTAGCTGGGTTTTGGCAGGGACGCCTTAGCGTTCAGTCCACCTGAGTGGACTGCGTCTCCACCCTTCCCAACTCCAGGCGGCTGAGGGGGTGGGTGGCGTCGGAAGGGAAGGCCCTTGGAGCTCAGCTGGAGCCGTCTCCAGCGATCCGCCTCTTTAGAAGATCCGCCTGGGGTCTGACCCACACAGGTTCTGTTTAAAAACCGAGACGCGCATTGAGCCCTTTCCGTGGCTCACAAGGCTGTTTGACCCACTGCTGTGTCTCCTGTCCCTACCGACTTTCCTCTGCACCCGTGCTCCAGCCACACTGACTTCCTTGCCAGAACAGCACTCGCGGCTTTCCTCCAGAATGCTCCCGTCTGTAGCCCCCTTTCCATATCTTACTCTTTAAAGAACAAAAAAATTTTTTTGGTATATGTACCCGTTTTGGGAATCGCTGAGGATGAGACCCAGAAAAGAAAATGCGTAGAGGTCCCCAGGACTCAGTATTCTAGTCACTGTCCTGCAACATAGCTAAACAATTTGTCCTCCCCCGTCTGAGCGTTCTGTATCTCACTTCACACAAATAGGCAGGTGCTGGTTGACAAATTTATATTATTTCTTAAATCCAGGATTCAATGAGAGGGAGAGTATAATATTTAATCCTTTTTCTCCAAACACTTTTCCCCTTAGTCTCGGGGCCTTTGGACGACCTCTAAGTCACTTTGGATTTGTTGTGGGGGAAGAAAAAGGAATAAACAAGATGGCACAAAGTAGGTTGTAAAGATTTGAATGACCCTTACGCCTGGATCTCCACTATCAACACTACTTAAGTGCCACACATTCTTTTCTTTCCTCATGAGCAAATATCCCTTGTTCTAGTTTGGTCATCTTATACCTGTATGACTTTTTCTTTGACAAAATTTTCCCAATTTGTAGAAACAAGAGCAGTCATTTTTCTTACCTACTGTTTTGATCATTCAACGTGCTCCTTATTTCCACCCCCAATTATTTTTTAGTTATCCTTTATGATAAAGTTTGATCTTTGAAAACCTTTAATCGATAACAACCTGAAGAATCTAACTCCTGTCATATTTCAAGTGGTATCTTTTGTTCAACTCAATTGTTTTTTGGTGGATCACTTCATGCTCCAAATTTGCCTAGCTGTGATTTAATAATCTTCATGATTCTCTGCAATCCATTGAACCTAGGTCAAGAGACCTTAACCATGGCCATCTAAAATAAGAGTATAGGGGGAAAAAAATCCTATTCTTGAAAACCAAATTGCATCCTTAAAAACATTAAGGAAATTTCCAGACACATAAAAAAGTTGTATATAAGGAAGCCCCATGAACTCAGTGCCTAGTTCCAATAATTATTAACTCATGGTCAATCTTGTTGCTTCTATATCACTATCCACATACCTCCTCTTGTATTATTTTGAAGCAAATATCAGGCATCTGAAATCTATAAATATTACTGTATGATTTCTTTAAAAAAGGACTTTTTAAAAGCATAACCACAATACTATTATCACACCTAAAATATCTAAGGTATTTCCTTAATATCATCAAATAGCCAGTGTTTAATTTTCTACCTTACCCCCCTTTTTTTCTTTACTTTGCTTGTTTGAACCAAGATCCAATCAAGTACACACGTTGTGATTGGTTGATCAGTCTTTTAAGTTTCTTTTATAAGTTCCTCCTCCACTTTCTTCTTGTGCAGTTTGTTGAAGGAACCATGTTGTTGGTCCTGTGGAGTTTCCCATAATCTGGATTTTGCTGATTAATGCAGTTTAATATGGTTTCCTTACCTCTTGGTTATAGCTCAGCTCTCTTTCAGATGCTTTCCCTGCTTAGGTTTAGCTGTTTATTAACCCAGCAGCATCTTTATCTTTGTGTTGAAATATTACTTTCAACTGGTTATATTGTCATGCTTAAGTTAATCCCCCCTTTATGATATGTTTGCTTACCTCACCCCTTTGCTGACATTTTCCAACTCCTTCAAAGTAGCCCTCTCTTATCTGACTCATTATCTCCTGTCTCTGACATTTGCAGTTCATTCTTCTTTTAGTCTTGGAAATAGAACAACACTGGGCTAAGGAAAAGCAAAATGAAAACAGCTCTTTGGATGCTGCTGCCCCTCCCCCCCACTTGTTCTCACTCTATTCTCATTGCTGTTGTTCCACCCTCATCAGTATATTCAAACTGTACTCTCAGATGTTGCTAAGGATCTTCCTAAGGGTCATCTCCAGTATTTTCGCTCGGTTCCCATCCTCTTTTATTTTTTTTTTGAGAGTGTTTGATAATTTATTCAGTAAATATTTATTGAACACTGTTGACCTTAAAAGTAAAACTGTCAGTTATTTTGCCAGCAAAAACATGTTTATTTGGGAATAGCCGGGGATTGCAACTTGGGACATGCAAGGTATAGCAAAATGATGGGCAAGTACAGAGAACAAAGGAGAGGAATGTTCTTTTTATAAAGAAAAGGAGGAAGTTGGGAGGGGCTGTTTGAAGCAAAAAGTTTATTGGGATAAACTGGGAATTTGAAGTATTGTGGATTTTCATTGGCTGAGTTGTGATAGTCTCTCATTGGCTAGGCTATTGCCAGGCTTGTAGGAAAAGCCTCCTTCCTCTTTCTGGTGTAGTGAAATATAGGCTTCTTGTTGGGAATGCAAGACACATCTCTTCTTGTTGGGGATCTACAGTTGACAGTGAGTAGTGGTAGGCACGAGACCTTTCCTTTCTGGCCCCTCAGCTCCATTTTAAATGAGGTATCCTTTATTTGGTTTCACAATACCTGTGTTAGATACTATGCAATGTCTTAGTGATTTGATGACATATAAAAAGACATGATCCCCCTCCTTTATGAAGCTTCCAGTTGGATTGAAGAAAATGACATCAAACAATCACAAATTATTGTAAAATTACAACTGTGTTCAGTGCTAAGGAGAGGCAAATGGTCTAATAAAAACATCTAATAATGGGGAAATTTAACACAGTGCCACTGAACCAAGAGCTAAAGGATGAGTAGGGGAAATGTTGTGGAGGGGAGAGATGGGGGTGAAAGGAGATTTCTAGGCAGGGGGAAGAGCATTTGCAAAGGCCTATTGGGGGTGGGAGCTTGGAAGATTCAAGAAATTGAAAAAAGACCAGCAAAGAGACAGGGTAGAGATGAGACTGGAGAGGTAGGCAAGGGCCAGATTATGTAGGTCACGTAGGGCAAGACAAAGACTTCGCTCTCTGTCCTAATAACTATGGAAACTCACTAAAGTGAAGATTGGGAAGTGTTATGTGACATACCCAGGTGTGCATTTGAAATTTTATCTTGGCTGCATTGAGGAGAATGCATTTGAGGGGGGCAAGATTATGTGAAGTCCAAATAGGAGGCAGTTGCAGTATTCTAGGCGGTAGATGGTTGTGGCTTAGGCTAGGATGGTAATAGCCAGAGATGGCAAAGAGAGGATAGATAGAGAGATTTAGTGGATAAAACCCTAAATGACGTGACCATGAATTGGCTGGGGTTGATGTACGAAAGCGGTCACGGATTATTTGTAAGTTCCTAGGTTTTGCAACTGGATGCCATTTTCTGAGATAGGGAATACTGGAAGAAGACCACATTTTGAGAGACAGAGTTAGATTTTGGGCATGGTGAATTTGAGATGCCCTTGAGATATCCAGGTGGAGGTAAGATTAGGCAGTTAGAAATCCGAGTGTAGAGGTTAGATGCAAGGTATGGCCTTGTGATATTTGCGTGTGGGTGGATAGTTATTTAAGTAATGGGTGAGAATGAGATCTCCAGGACAGAATATAGAATGAAAAGAGAAGGCGGACGACTCTCTTCTTGAAACTCATCCGGTGAACTCTTTGAGACTACCCTGTCCTGGTTCTCCTCTCTCCTCTCCCCTTCTGACTGTCAACTGTTGCTGGTTTCCAAAGTATGGTCCTTTTTCACCCCCTTCGAGAGCTTAATAGTGTTTTGTTTTGTTTTTTTTTAGGTTTTGTTTTGTTTTATTTGGAATGGAAGGATAGTCCTGATCCTTTAATGATGTTGACTGTTTTACAGATACCCAGGTGTAAGTGGTAGATCACTGTGGTTTTGATTTGCATTTCTCTGATGATGAGTGATGTTGAACATCTTTTCATGTGTCTGTTGGCCATCTGGATGTCTTCTTTGGAGAAATGTCTGTTTATACCTTCTGCCCATTTTTTTAAATTGGATTTGGGTTTTTTTGGTGTCGAGTACATCCCAATTCAGAAGAGAATTTCATGTTGCCTTTTTCTGGATCTTCAACATGATTATCTATCATATCATCAATTCTGTTTACTTTGAACTGTGATTCTAACACTCGACTTGGGCCTCGAGTGAAACGGGGATAGAATTTTTTGGGAAATGGTCCATGGGGCCCGGACCCCTTGATGGGCACATTCTTAAGCGGCTGAGTCACTTCACTGAAGTTGAAATAAATAAAAAGCAAAACTGTCCAGGTCGCAGATGTAAAAAGGCATCCATAACAGAAATATCAAACTGTGACACTTCCCATTATAGACCTAGCATAGCTGAAGGGCCATCTTCAATCTCCCCGACGCCGGCAGCGCAGGATCCCGGCCCTCTGGGACTCGGGCCGTGGCATCTTCCCTCCCGCC